CCCCCCCCCATCAGAGGGAACCCAGGACCTAGGTGTTCTTAGCTCCAGGTCCTGCTGGCACAGAAAAGGGAGGCGGGGCCACGGTTTTTGCTGGGTCTCTGACTCCTCTGGGGCAACCCAGGCCGGACTCGGGGCCATCCCGCCCTCCTGGCAGGGCCTGGGGGCAGGGACAGCCGGGAAGGACAAGGGTCCCTGGGGCATCCACCGAGGCTGCTCCCCCTCCCCCCACAACCTCCTGCAAGACACGACCCGGAACCAACTCCCCATGTCCCCTCTTGCGGAGCCCCCGGAGCCCCACCACTGGGTGTGGGTGCTTGTCGGCCCGATCACGGTCCCCAGAACCCCCAAATGGAGGCCAAGGCTGGAGGATGACAGAAAGCGGATTCTCGGGGTGTGAGGGGGCCCCGGAGCGGTGCGCTGGAGAAGGAGGCGGAGGAGGGGGTGCAGAGGAAGCGGGAGAGCGCGTGGGGGGTGCGAGCGGGGTCCGGGGGACGCGAGGTGGGTGTGGGGGCGCAGGGCTCACCTACCTCTGGTCGGCGCCGCCATTGCCGGTCACATGACTGAGGCTGTTGCTGGGATGACGGCCTGGGCCTTAGCAACAAGGGGGGGGAGACCCCGAGAAGGTGGAGGGTGCGTGTAAAGGGGGTGCAAACTGAGGGAAAGGGAGAGAGGGCTGCACCCCCTCCCCCCTCCCAGGTGACAACCACCGTTTCCTTTGACCCCGTCTGTCCTCGAGCCCCTGCTCTGCGCCCCCAGAACAAAAATGGAGGCTCGTCCCAGCCTTGGGAGGGAGTGGCGTCGTGGATCCGAGGGTAGGAGGTTAAATCCCTTAGAGACGCCCCCCTGCCGCTGCCGCCAGAGCCCGCGCCCTTTCCCCTCCCCCACCGCGGCGGTAGCTCCGGGTCCTGGTGGTGGATGGGTGGGCGCCGCGTGGGTCTGGGTGGGTGGCAGGACTGGGCCAATTGTGATCCTTATGCGAGAGGGGCCTTTGAGGGAGAGTATGCGATAGGAAGAAGGGTCGTAGTGAAAAGCACTGGATCTAAAACAATAAACCGCAGGACTAAACGATTTCTATCTCCTCCCTCATCTCTTGCTTTTTTTCTAGATTACCTTCTGTGACCCCCCCCCCCC